GTTCATTCAGCAAGGACTAGATTTCAAGATTTCTGCTTTTGATTATTATTATATGTGGTTGAAATACAATTTTGTAACTTACTGATGGGAAACCAGTTTTAATTATTCATTCTATGTTTTCTTTTCCGACAAAAATGAAAATATAAATAACGATCCTTTTTTTATACATTTTAACTTCACGCTATTATTAAATGGTATTTTTTTATTTTGACAGAATAATTCTTCAATGACAACTTATTAGACCTAGGCAACTTCTCATACATTTTCCAGTAAATACTGTTGCCTGCCTATATTTTATTATTCATTTTTATTGATTATACATAATTTTCTTTAATTTAAGAGATAGAAATATATAATAATAATAAATTAATGTTTTACTTGTTTTACAAGTCCATATACTTTTATTAAAACTAACATATATACTTTTTAATTACGAATTCTATTAAAAATTGCATTTGTCAGTATACGCAGAAATAGTCCATTAATACCAAAACGAATGGGCGCTGCTGTCGCGCACGTAGCGAATAAGACGTTTCTTGAGTTTTGTGCAAAATATAGAATTACCGCAATATTAGCCGCACGTCGCATCAAGGATAGCCATGGTCTCGGCGTTCGCTATACGACAAGTTTAAACTTTAAACGGTCATATTATTACAAATTCAATCGCTTGATAGTGTTCATCGGCATAGATTTTTAATAACCGTGTTCAGCAAGCTCTGTGTACAGGGTTTTTCATTATATTTTGACCGCTACTTATTTTCATTATTATTGCAAACACAAAAAAAAGTTTTAAGTAAAAGCTATGTTGTTCTATCTGTACCGACTAAAAATGTAATAACAGGCTGAATTGTATATACAGGACGACTCCAACAAAATATAATTTAATTTTTTTAATGGGACACCCTATATATTTTTGCCATTTTAAGTAGACTTGCGTTTCCTGATAACAAATATATAATATATTATTTATATAGTGACTTATTGCACTATGAAAGCATAACACATAGATAGCTATGAAAACCATGTTTCCAAGTGAAACAGTTGTTTGTTTATTAAAAGTTGTCAATTGATTGCTTGTAATGGGTTTTACTGTGGTCTAAAAAGTTGAGGTAAAACAACAAAGCTTTTACTTGAAACTTTTTTTGAGTTCACAAGAATTATGAAAATACGTAGTGGTCAAAATATAATGAAAAACCCTGTACACGTGGGTTTTCGGACTTCTTCTGCAATTTATTGAGTAAGTACGTTCCTAAATTAAGAAAATTCTATCACAGTGCTATACTTTTTTTGTTTCCAGGTTGCAATAGCTGGCCTGTGTTTATTATGTCATCAGACACTTGCAGAGGGTGAACTTACCCCAATTAGTTTTTTCAAATATATTTTTTTGTTAGTTGTTTTCGGAAAACCCGAAGAAAATCATATGGGAAAAAAAATTAAAAAAAAACTACGCCTTTCGGTTTCCTGCGAATTCCCGAAAAATTATGACAGATTTCGCCACGGGGCTTATTTTATTTGAGAGCCAACAAAAAAATACGCAACTTCTCTCTTGGGCACATATGTCTAACATTTATAATTTCGCCACAAATTCATCGCAAATTTCATGTCCATGGTTCTGATCAAAGAAACGAAAAAACAACTTTTTGGTAAAAGCACTTCTGGCGGCGAGAAATTCGCTATTAAAACTACCTGTGCAATGAATTTCCGAACTAGTTTTGCCTCCTCTTTCGATTGGTGCATTTATTTTTACTATCGGAATGATACTTGCCCAGATAATTAGCATTTTTACCATGGAAAATTCCGGAAAACCCGGTTTTTCCTAATTTAAAAAAAATTGAACAACAGCTACATCTTTTTTTGCCTTTTTTTCAGATAGATCAAATCAAAATACATAAGGTCCACTTTGTTTCATCCAATTACAAATTAATGTAAGCTCGAAGGGGCTTTTTTCCGTTATTTATTTGGACTATTTACGTATTTTTAATTTTTTTTGTTAAAAACAGAAACATTCGATAAGAAACAAAATTACGAACACCGAACAAAAAATAATATTTTGTTAACTGGAATATATTTTAGAGATTTTGTGTGTACCAAATTTACCAGATATTAAAAAATTTTATGAATTGATTACAATTTTAACCGTACATTTTTCACCGGTAAATTCGTATATTAAAATCCTGATCCTAGTCGGATCCAAATTAATTGGAACCAATGACATATATAGATTAATAGACTGCTCATCCATATATAAACAAGACGACGAAAAGCGGGTCATATTGCTTGGCTTGCCGAGTGCTCACCAGGCAGAATCGGTCTGGCCCAAATGAGTTTAAAACATTTCATCAAAGTAGGAATTGAATTAAAAAAAAAAATATATATATCTGTATGTTTATTTCAAGACAGGAGCTTGCGTTAGGTATTTTAAAAAAGGATTTTGAGTCGTAACGTCTAGTTTCCCAATTTTCAAAACATTTTAAGAGATCTAACCAATTTTGAACATAGATGTAAACAATTTTACACTCATGTGTATATAACTAACTTTAGACCATGACTACTGTATAGTGGCACTATTCGGACACTTGATTATTCTTTTAAAATTAATTTCGCATTATAAAAGCAGATATTATGCAAAAATTGAATGAACTTTTTAAAGATTTAAAGTTAGTAGCTTTTTCACATTCTAAAGTTTGTCCCTTTAGACAATTAAGGATTATTTTGGCGGTGAATGTGAATGATTTGATGAATAATAATAAAATTCCACCAGTGGAAATCTGATCAACATCATAGTAAAATGGACTAGGTACAAAGTGCAATCTTAGTTGACGTCAAGATCCGTGTACCTTAGCATCGGTAAAAGGGAAATAAAGATTCTGACTTACAATCACAAAAAGAACGTACAACTAAGCTTAGTCGATGTAAGTTAGCTCAGATTAGTGGTAAAAGGAAAGCGAATATTAATAAAAAGAAAATTAATCCAGCTAAAACAAGAATTATGGCTACTGTCTTTAATAATGATATGTTGCCAGTACTAGTAGAATGTTAAGTGTTGAGTTATCTTCTTCAGGCAATGGATGTACGTATGCATAATTTAAAATGTTTGGTTCATTATTATTATTATTATTATTATGTTTAATGTGTTTTTGCAGTTAATGAACATATATCTACTACTGAAGCAGATAATGAAGATTTGTGTGCTGCTGAATAGCTTTGCTTAATTTACAAAACTTTGTGAGTGGTGATTTAGTTGATCCGTTTTCAAACAGAATTGTTAGTGCTAAAGAACTATCTACTTTAATAGGATTGCAATCCTTCCAGTTATTAGCCACCATTGTGGAATTAGTAGCAGAGTTGTTTCTAAATAATAGGAAAAAGGAGATCAGTTATGTCTGTAAAGGATCAAGTTATATTTACTTTTATGAAGTTGAAAACTGATATGCAAGATATAATGTCTTATTCATTTTATTTGGAGTGAATGAAACTTTTTATCGTTAAATTTTTTAAAAGTTTTTAATAAAACTGGTAGAAGTTCTTAGAAATATTAAATAATGTGCCTCTATGTAAGTAAGAGTACTACTACTTGATTGTACCCAAATCCCAATACAGCAAGCCAAATGTCTTTGTTGTAAGCTAAAAAATTACTCTCGACTACAAAAAGAGGCATACTATTAAAATATTGACTGGAGTGTCACCTACTGGTCTCATTACTTACAAAAGTGGTAAACTTCAGAAATAGACATTTTTTAACAAAGTTCAATACTTGAAGTGTGTGAATCATTTCTCGATAGTAAAATGTTTAACAAAGGTTTTCTTATTGGAAACATAACAGAAGCTGAAGGTATACAAATTATACAGCCTCCTTTCCTCAATAAAAAAAATCAGTTCAGCCATCAAGAGGCTTTACTTAATGCCAAAATTGCCAGAGCTAGAATTCACATGGAAAGAACCTATCAAAGAATAAAAGTGTTTGTCTCTCTGTATTGGTACTTATGTCCGTTTTTCTTCTATTTATATTGAGTTTTTATTATACGATACTTCTCTGTATCTAACTAACTTTTAAAATGTACTTGTAAAGCCCAGATAGCTCTAACTCGGGCTTTTGAATATAATAATATTTATGTAATTGTATTTACAATAAATACTTTATTATTATTAATATTATTATTATAATTAATTATAATTCGTAAAATTATTATAAACGTATTTACCTTGTACCTAATTGTATTGATACTTGCGTGAAAAATGAAATGTTACTTTTTATATTTCTGTAGCTGGTCTTACAAACCTTTATAGAGCAATTCACCATTTAAATTTAAAAACAAAACAATATTTTATACTCAAATAATTAAAAAACTTAAAACAGAACATAAGTATAATTAAAACTAAATAAAATAAACAATTCAACAAAATGTCCGACTGAGTAATGACAATGAGAACAAAATCTCAACTAGACTAAACTTTCTTTAAAACCGGTCCTGTGAAAGGTTTGTTTACCAGTGAGCACTCAAAATTGAGACAAAACACAAACATTGCATGCACTAGACAAAGAGAAAACATCTCCCAGTTCGACTCACTTTTCATCGTTTTATTTACGTATGGATAAGCAGTCTATTTAAACTATATATGTCATTGATTGGAACCCCACGGTTCAACGACACATGCTTTAGCTAAAGAGTAGAAAAACGAATTCTTATACAATTTTTGAACGTTTTTAGTTCCTGCATTTTAGTCTGCATTTTCTCTGATGCCGAGTCAAATAAACGACTGGAACAGTTTAATTTAACAGATTCAAACCAGGATGGATTTATAGATTACACTGAATTTTTGGAGGTAATTATTTTTAATTATTATAAGGAATAAATGAATTTAAAAAAAATGCGTAAATATAAAATAGATGAAACAAAAATATGACCAGGCATTGAGAAAATTGTACCGGGTCGGGTGTCCAAATAAGAAAGGTCGTTGGCCTTATCAAAAGAATAAAAAAAAAAAATAAAAAAACAACGTATAAATATCATTTTTATTTTCAGTTGATTTACAATTATGATAATCTTGGACTCCTTGCTAAGATGGTAGGAGAAAACATAGTCTTCATAAGCGATTTGTCCATAGGTCAACAACTGGAACATGGATTATTTTAAGTAAAAATATACCATATAAACATGACAAACTATTGTCTTTCTATTTAGGAATAATATTCACAATAACACAAAACACAGGAAGGAGATACTGACATATATGTTTGTATAGCATTAGCAATAGTTATACAAGGATATATTTATGTATTCTATAATTTTCAACTAACTCTATATATACAGTGTGTCCACAGATGGACGTAACTATTATTGTAAAAATATTTATTTTAAATTAAAAAAAAGTCGATCTTCATATCTTTTGCTAGTTAAAGAAATGCGATACACGTTGAGAAACTTAGATTTTGTCGAACAGGGTGAGCAATAAAATATACAATTGTAGATTTGTAATATTAAAAATTTTTTGATACAATTTTTTTCAAGTACTCTACTGAAGAGATTGTAATAGCCCAAGAGCCCACTGCAAATTTTTACCGTCATCTGATAACGAAATGAAATATACCCCAAAAGCATGGAAAAACAATGTACCTGTGCCAATCCCAATCATGAGCAAAGTGGCTTAAAAAAATTATTTTATATTAAAAAAATCACATAAGGCATAACAGCGCTAATTTTGTTTGCCCTTAAAGTTTTCCAGAAAATAACATTCAAATATATCTTGATATATATCGTTAAAGAGAAACATTTCTATCCACGATTAGTAGGTAAAAATCATTAAAAATATGAATCAATGTTTGCTGATTTAAAAATTTATTTGTATGCCTATTGTTGTGATTCATTTTTACAGGTTGCCATAGAAACGACAAAAAAACTACTATGATTATGGTTTAAAATAATTGTCTAACAAGAGTTTATAATTATTATTGACTATCTCTACAAATGGTTTATATAATGCCATCCTTCTTCCTTTAATACATAAACATGGTTTAAAAGGTAGGTAAAAATATTAATAATTTAGGTTTAAAAGCTAGATTCACAATGAATTAGGATTGTAATTTTCAGGGAAAACACAATTGTCACTGTCATTGTAATTTTTTTTAACCACTTTGCTCAGGATAGGGATTGGCACAGGTGCAATTTGGTAAAGTACAATGTTGTTACATGCCTTTGGAGCATATTTCATTTCGTTATCAGATGATGGTCGAAATTTGCAGTGGGCTCTCATACTATAAGGTTTATTCGAAAAGTCAAAGTTTTTAAAAATGTATTTAAAAAATTTTAATTTTTGTTTTTTTTATGCACACCATGTACAATAAAATCGAAAGTTTGTCAAAGTGAATCGTATTTATTTATTTTTTAATTTTTACAAGTATAGTTAAAGTCAATCCGTTAATACATTACTTATCTCATTTTGATAATAAATAATGATAGAATATTATTTGGAAAAAGTATACAATATACAAACAGTAACTGTGATTACTATACTAGTGTGTTATGAGGGCCCCTGCAAGATAAACTAAATATTTGCCTAATACCCCGATCTCACTTTATGTGATTTTGACTTATACTTGGCCCATAGTTTCTGTCGATTCCGCATAAACCATTAGAGTTATTGCAAATACAAATGTCTTGCTCTATTGGGCATTTCAACGACCTGCCAAAATGCTGCCCGTGGGTAGAACTTGATTATTATCCGTAGAGCACATTACTTTACAATGCGCAGAAACCAGATTAAATTTATAGGCAGTATGCGTGGTCACAGGCCTCCCAGCGTCTTATTTATAATATTGCACAGTTGAATTCAGTAGCGTAGAAAGCATTTTACTTATTGCATTTCCTTTCATTGTTATTTTCTTGTGTTTAGTGTTTCGATTTGATCCAAAGAAACGTTTATTTCTTAGTTTTTCGACTATTCAATTATGTGTGTATTTTGGTAAGTACAATTTATACCTAAATAAATCATTTAAAGAGTAAAAAAGTAAGTTTTATGAACGACTATTCTTAAAATTTAGTATTTTTATACTTATTTTGGTATGTAAAATCACACTTTATACAGAATAAATATTGAAAAAGGAACATAAGACCCCATCTAAAGGTCGAAAAATCGTGGTATCTTTTGTGCATATTAAAATAGAGGTACTTTTAGATAACCAGGGGTATGCAAATCAATGAATCGTTTACATATTACTCATATTTATACGTTCAAGATTAAAGTTTAATTATAATTCATTTAAGTGTGGTCTTAGATAAAATGTATGAACACGTGTGAAGTGCTTCACATCTTTAGAACTAATGTGACACAAGTTAGATATTATTCGTTTTAGTCATAACTTTTCTATATATTTCAAATATGCTATGGAAAAACAGCTACCTACGCCAATAAAGCAAGGTTAAATATCGAGGAGCTCTAATTTCAAACCATTCTTTTTTAGATATAATTTACTTTTTAAAGTAATAATTATCTTTTTTTTTTCGTTGTAAAAGGCTTATAAAGTTTGAATACTTACAGTTTTAAAGTTGAAGGTGGTAGCCATGTGTGAGTTATAAGTTCAAAAAGGTAAATCAAACAAAGGTGGTCCTTAGGATCTCACAAGAGTATTTTATTACGACCGGTTTCGAGGATCAAATCCTCATCATCAGGTAAGGTCTAAAAATAGAGAGGAAAAACGAATGAGCTCATAACTAATAAGTGGGTTTAAACATTTTTAATATGAAAGTTGTCAAATATCAAGAACTCACCCGTAATTACTCTATTCGTTTTTCCTCTCTATTTTTAGACCTTACCTGATGATGAGGATTTGATCCTCGAAACCGGTCGTAATAAAATACTCTTGTGAGATCCTAAGGACCACCTTTGTTTGATTTACCTTTTTGGACTTACAGTTTTAATTGAATAACTTTAAAAAAATAATAATTATTGTTTAAGTTCACTCAGATAACAGCAGCTATCAAGAATATATTATCTAGGCACTCTTACAGTTCACGGCCAGTTGGGTTATAAAGAATTTTTAATAAAATAATTTCAAACTTAATTTTTTAATTTCTTAAGCATATTCGAATAAAAAATAATGTATGAACTACGGACGAAACATTTGTTTTAGGACTCTTAGTAGTCGTCCTAAAAACTCAACTTTTCGTCCTTGGTACATAAACTACTATTATATACCTTTTATTCAAAACCAAATTTTTTCTTACATTTATTAGCTTGTTGAACGACATGAATCAAAAACATTTAATAGGACAAAAGGGCCAAGTTCTTCATGCCCAGACCAAAGAAGTAATTTCACGCCTGATTAAAATATTTTCAACACTCAAAATATTTTCAACACTCTGCCTTTGATTTTGCCCACTTACTAAGGAGAAAGTTATCCTTATTAGGACTATTCAGCAATAAATGGAAATTCTCCAGTCTCTAATGGAGTCTGATTGTGAAACAAATTTCGATCGAACTCAATTACGGCGGGTTGAGCATGAGTAGATGCGAAAGTAGTATCGCCATCTATACTTAGTAAGCAATATCACAAATTACATCTAGTGGATATCCACGATGGTTTGCGTTCGCGCCTAGACTTTGATATATTTAGTGGATGACCATGGGATATTGAATACACCTTAAAAAAAAATAATTTTAAATATCTAAACAATGGCGAGCACAATGGCGTATTTTTTTAATAATTTGCTATATAATTACTATTATTTATGGACATTTGCATGTCTATAAATTACAGCTCATGGATATAAAATAGATATCTACCATGGACTGGACATTCAGTGGATATTGGGATGTTCAGTAGATATCCAAAGGATTTGGTGTGCTGTCTGGGAACCCCCAAGGAATGGGCAAATGTGGTTGACCATTGCTCGAAATATGAGGTTGCGTATACACTTAATGGATGGATATACAGATTCCTTGATATTTAATGTAAATATGGAATCATCTGACGAGTGGGATTCAGAATTGTTGAATATTTAAAATTGAAATAATCACAAATATATTTATTAAGTAAAATTTTCAGTTGTTTTATTAATTTACAGTTTATTAAAAATTTGACAAACAATAGTCGAAATTCTGACTAATACTTTTCGTTTACGAGTATTTAAGATTTTAAATATTTTATAAATGTACACACGCCACTGCTAAAGAAAGCACTGGTTATCAGGTACAGTGTTGCCAACTGCAAGTAACGGAATTACCACCAAATCTAATTAAAATGCTCCATTTTTCCTCACAATAGCAATTCAATCCTCACAAATTCCTCACACGTTTAGAAACACAATTTAGATTTAAAAATTAGAAAAACTTTATAGTTTTGTTTGTTTTTTGTAGACATTAGAGAAACAATTTAGTTCATCAACAAAATATCACGCCATCTAATAGCGAAGAAATACATTTTGAAGTGGTTATTATTGAAGATAACTATATTTTCCTTCTAATGACAATAAAAAATGTTAAGTAATCTGTGAATCACTCGTTTCTTGTAATAATGTCAGCACACAAACAATAAGCAGATCATTTTTTAAAAATTCAGCACAGTCGGTAATTTTGCTAATGGTCTGACGCCATCTTTCAGATGTTGTCATCCCTATTTAAACTACTAATGATAATTTATAGAAACCGAAAATATTTCAGATGTGATTTTTTAAACGCTAATGCTAAAAAAAGTGGTGTTTTTACCAAAAAAATCAACTGAAATTTAAAGTTGTATGTGTCCTAATTCGCAAAATATACCTAATTTTGATGAATTAGCTTAAGAATACTGAATCCTCACAATTGGGTCAATGCTCCCACTTTTGCTCCACAAGTATCAAATCCTTACAAATGTAAGCATTTACCCTCATATTGGCAACACTGATCAGGTACCCCTACCGTAAGTGATTTTAGATCAACGTCGTCAAATAAACTCCTCCTGGCTGCGCGAAATTAGACATTTTGTTACGCAATATACTCATCGGATAGTAATCGAGCTCTAATGACAGCTCTTGGCACAGTTTAAAGAATATATACAGGGTGTTTCCGAACTTAGCGTCCAAATTTGTAGGGGTGGTAGTTCGCATAATTTGAGTGCGATTGGCAGATTTCATTTTTATAAAAAAATTATAATAAACAAAATAGAGCCATTATTAAAAAATCAAAGAGCAGGTCCTACCCTGAGCGCGTAGCGCAATAGTCCTCAAAAACAGATAAGCGTAGCGCGCGCGAGTCGAGACGATCCTATCGCTGTGCAGGACCGTACCTGTTTATAATTTTTAATTATTTTTATTTTAAATATTTTGGAAAAATGAAATCTGCGAGTGGGTCTCAAATTATGAGAACTGCCACCCCTACAAATTTGGACGTCAAGTTCGGAAACACCCTGTATATATTCTTTAAACTGTGCTCATGATATGGCAACCCATATATAGGTAGTTATATAAATTGCTCAAAACGGGTCAGTTTTGCGAGCGGCCATATTGCCTCGGAAGTGCTTATTAATCAGAATCGGTCTAGCAAAAATGTGTTTTAAAACGAATATTTAGCCTTTGAATATAGTAAAAAAATAATTACCTACATTTTTACATCAAGGCATAAGCTTATGTTTATTTTGAAGAACATGTATGATCAATTTATATAACTAGCTATATCATTGACCCACATATGGTTGCCATATCATAACTTGTCATCACCCACGGGCAGCCATTTTGTTTGGAATGCCTAATAGTAAGCATATTATTTCACGAACTTATTGAAGTTAACATGATAATTGTGAAGTTTGTTTTTTCATGGAAATTACAATTTTTCATTCAATTTCGGATCTTATATTTATTTTCATCTTCTTTAAACTGCTAAACATTTAACAAAAAATAATTATTTAATATTATGAAATTATATTTACTTGCAGAATGCTTTTTAACTCGTTTCTAATCTAAGCACTCTCAATTTCCCTGAATCGACCATTATACAAGCAGCATCGTTTCGACCACCGCAATATTTTGATGACGAAAATACTGTCAATAATTTACCCTTTTGAAGTACCTAAAAAAATATATACATGGTGTTTATTAATTGACTGCCGATACGATACTTAAGGGTGTGAATCCTTGGGCGATTTTAAGAAAAAAGTTAATATCAACATATGTCGTAAGCTTAATTTTTGAGCTACAGAGTGTTATAGTTTTACATAATTTTCATATAACTCCAGATATTTTTAGAAAATTTTGTACACATCTTATAATCATTAAGGAGAATTTTTTGATGCAAAATATGTTTGAACTGAATATTTTTGAAGAAAAAAATGGTAACCTACTGCTTTTTGAAAAACAAAATCTATTTTTGAAATCCTCCTTTGAAACAAATTGATTCATTATTTTGTAATTTTGTAATTAATAGTACATTATATACCTAGGCTGAGAAAGCTATTATTTACCTCGCACATTATATCCCTCGGCGCTACGCGCCTCAGGATATAAAAGTGCTCGGTAAATAATAGCTCACTTCTCACCCTAGGTATATAATGTACTATTAATTATAGGTGGGACACCTCAGAGAACAGAGGAATTTGGTACATTAACTAAAACCAATTTTGAAAAATGTTTTTCGGTGGATGGGTACCAGTGAGAACCCTATTGAAAAGCAAGAACAGCCTGTTCTTATTTCAAGATTATTAATTTCTTCAATAAAACTATCCTATAATTCAACCAAAATCAATATATTTATGTCAAAGTCAATATTAACATTTCTTGGAACAGTTCATATTATTATTGTAACAAATTTAGATGTATTGAATTTAAGAACAAGATATTATTGAATATAAATAAAGTATATTTAAAAAAAGTGTAAAACTATTTCATTTAAGATGTACATTTCTTGGAACAGTTCATATTATTATTATAACAAATTTAGTTGGATTGGATTTAAGAATATTTAAAAAAAGTGTAAGACTATTTCATTTAAAATGTACCTACATAATACTGCAATTGAGCAATAAATACTCTTCATTTAATTAGAGGTATTTTAGTTAGGGCAAGTTGATTTTATTCTTCAAGCAAGGCTTATTAGCTATTGTTAAACAAGTATTACAACAGTTTCAAATTGAGACGAGTTTTACTTGCGGATATACAAACACAACAAAGCATTGAAATAAGACCATTCATCTTGAAGTACACCTTTTTTTCTGTGTGTGGATTTTCTTCAGCCCATACCTACATGGTTATTGTGAAAATGCCTTATTGCATTTCTTGACATATTCGCTTCATCGGTAAAAAGAATAGGCGTAACTAATGTGTGCAAAAGCCATTGACAAAATGCAATACGTGGAGGAAAATCAGCAGCAAGAAGTACCTAAACGCGTTGTATGGTATAACAAATTGTCCCTAAGAATTTTCCAAACAGTCGAATAACTCTCAATCAAAGTATTTGTAATTTTTCGAATAGAAGTACTCGGATCTTCCTCGATCATATCCAGCACATTTTCTTTTACTTCCACCGTTCTCGCTGTATTTGGCCTTCCTGGCCCTCCACTTTTCGTCTCAATGCGCCTGTGTCATGAAGACGTTGATGAATATTTTGGAACAATTTTCTATCAGGAATATTACGGTCAGGAAATCGTCTAATGTACAACCTCCTAGTTTCTAATGAATTTCCATCAGCAAGACAATAAATGTAATGCATGTCAGTCATCTCGGCGTTTGTATAGTGATTCATGATAAAGTCAGTAACAACATTTTAACTAACAAATGATCAATCATTAGACAAATTCAAATGAAATCCAAATTTAATCTGTATTTCTTTACGATGTCTGAACTTTTGCCTGTTTTAAGTGGAAAAAAATAGCCGTTTTTAGTAATTGGAAAGTTGTTAAAAAATAACGAATTTTTAAAAAAGTTTTATGTTCTTGGTTAACATAGTGTAGTCCTATTTTTTTTTAGACTATTATTAATTTTAAAAATAATAAAAATAGTTTTCTCGAAAATGTTGTGCGTCCTAAACAAAACGGAATTTTAAAAATCATCATAGAACAAAATATTCTTATAATAGTCCAAGGAACAACCTCTTGAATTTTTCCCGCATTTTTAAAAAACACCCTGTATATTAATATTAACTTTTCTTCAGAATCATCCAAGGATTCACATCCTTAAGAATCGGCACTCAATTAATAAATACCCTGTATAAATGTGGGATCTTATCATCATAATAAAATATAATATGCGATATTTGGCAACCGAAGTTGCCAACAAGACGAGCTTAATCTTGTCATTAGGACTGCAACGTAATGGAAGGTGACGCATCTGGGTGTCTATTATTGAATCTCGGAGAATAGAAATTTTGAGGGAAGAATGAGACAAAAATAGAAATGTTGTACATTGCAGATAAAGAGGAAAAACCAGTTTTCTATTCCCTCAAATTCAAGAATAACTACCCAGATGCAATTCAAGTATATTCTTGAAACCTAGTTTTTGGTTTTAAGAGTTCAGATATGCGTTAAAAGTTACATTAAATTTTGTTGCATGTCCTCTAAAAGTTGACAATTGTGTTGTCTATTGCAGATTTGTATATCTATCTTTACTTAACTCTTTATAGGGTACTGGGAGCTATACTTCCCGCCCTGGTTTTAGCTCTTTGGTTACCATATTTCCCATGTGCGTTGTGATCTACTTGTCATCTATTGACTGATATGTTTTTTAAATTAAATTAATCTTTTTTTCTATTTTATTGTAAAAACAAAAAAATATTTCTAAAATTGTTAATACAATTAATAATGTAATTTTTCATTAAAATTGTAAGTGATTTGCGGAGTTTAATAATAATTGTGAATTTACCTTAGAGCACAGAATTTTTAAAAATTATAAGAAAATGCAACATCACTTTACTTCCCAAAACTATTTAAAGTTGTCAAATAGTGTTTAGACCTCAGATTACAAAAAGAAAACAGTATTAACTTACCTGAAATCCAGCAACCGCCACTTCGTGAGCTCGTATTAAATGAGTTAATTGATTGGCTTTCAAAAACCTTTCTAAAGCTTCAACACTAAAAATGTGAGCAGTCCCTCTTCTAGCATTAACAGCAAAACCTTCGTTAGCGAGCAATTCTACTGCTAGTTTTTCGTCCACTGCTTTTGGCCTGAAACAATTGAATAATTGGCGTGTACTAGTGATTGGTCAAAAGCCCTTGATTCTAATATTCCTGTGGACATTATATATCTGGATTTTGCGAAAGCGTTCGATAGGGTACCTCATTAAAGACTATTACTTAAACTAAAACACTTTGGTCTCCGAGGCAATCTGAACAAGTGGATCGAAAATTATCTTGCTAATAGATGTTTTAGTGTCAAAGTTAGACAGTCACATTCCTCCGATCGACAGGTCACCAGTGGAGTACCTCAGGGATCGGTGCTAGGCCCTCTATTATTTTTAGTATATGCCAGTGATCTTACCTTACATATTCACACCTGTAAGTCTTTTTATGCGGACGATACCAAAATGTATGCAAATCCACTGCTGGAACATAACTTACTACAAAATGTTTCAATGCTATTGGAAAATGGTGTAACGACTGGTTACTGCCGTTAAATGTTAGCAAATGTGTAGTTTTGTATATGGGAAAGAACAATCCTCGCCTACAATACACACTAAACGACTATGCACTGAATAGTGTTACGTCTCATTCGGATTTGGGTGAAACCATTACTTCTGATTTAATCTGGTCTGAGCATGTGCTAACTACCTGCAAACGTGCCAATTCACTTATATATCTCCTTAGGAAGACCTTCGTGAAAATATCATTTCAGATGTAAGTGAAATTATTTAAAACATACGTGTGACCCATATTGGAGTATGGTGACCCAGTGTGGTGTCCAGTGCTAGTGCGTGATCAAAATCTACTTGAAAATGTACAACGACGTGCCATACGTATAAGTTTTGGACTAAATCGACCGTATTACGCCGACCGGTTAACAATGGCGCATTTACAGACATTTTAACAGCGTCGCATGCGAGGTGATCTAATTTTAAGTTTTCGCGTAATAAAAATTAATTATGCTGACTTGTTTTATTTATATTCTTTAAATCATGATAACAGACTAAGAGGTCACCAATTCAAATTATAAAAAACACTATTCGCGATTCAAATTAAGTGATACGCCCTCTGGAGGAAATTTTTAGAAGGTGCCTATAAGAAGGATATCGTTCAGTGTTGCCAGAAGTAGCGAAATTTCGTTACGTCGTCGGATTTTTCATTCAACATTGCGCTAAGCTTTCATTCTCAATTCTTTATTATTCCTGGAGACGTCTCTGCAAGCCGCACTACCCTTTACTCCTGGAAACGTCTCTGCGACACTGCCTTGGCTGATAAGAACGGTCTCCCATCTAATAGCTACGTTACAGGCGTCATTCACTTATTCTTCACTTCTTATTGGTCATCCATACTCGGTAAACGCCCCTATTGTTTAAAAACACCGGCGTTAGGCACTTGGTCAACGTCAAGCGTCACTCTCAATCTAGCTAAAAAACTTCTCTTCCGACAAAGCTTTAGTACATCTCAAACATAAAACATCGTTCAGCGTTTTAAAAGATGGCTTGAGTGCTTAAGTATATAGTGTAAAACGTATGTAGTTTGTAAATAAACCATGAAATAAAATTAACATCGTATTAATAGAGTTTTAAAATAAAGTATGTAATTAGAAAGTGATATTTTTACCCAAGCACTAATCCTTCCATCCCTACGGATCGCACAGGTATTTCCAACATAATTTAATATGGTTCACAATTTGCCAAAGTCCGTATGTCGGTCTTAGTTGGTTTATTGGTCAATCTGCGACAGCTGATGTATTAGCTCGCGTGGCGCGTGTATTATAGAAACACCATTAGTCAGTGACTTATGGAGTTTCTTAAGTAAAGCAGATTTTGACGACTAATGAGATTTCTCGTTGGAATGTGCACCGAAGTCACGGCATAAAAAACAATCGGCAGGCCCACTCTCCGCTGATCGCATACAAATATTATACTAAGAAAATTTGACCTTGACGACGCCATTCAGGGGTCTTAGTCAGGGTCGGATAGAAGCGTATTTAAAGATTTTGTAATAAAATAAGGTATTGATAGGCAGGATCGTATTAAAAACAAAAGAGCTTTACAGATTGCGCTAAATAATTAGCTTGTTTTTATTGATGGTCTTAAAATTTCTATTAATATTTTTAAAGTAAAATATATGAGCAGCCTTAAATATAACTTAGGACCGATTCCACCGTTGTGTTAAACGAAGTTTAAAATTACATTTTTACGTTAACAATGTCATTTTAATCTCCGTTTAACACAACGGTGGAATCGACCCTTAATAACATATATTTATGGAAATCGGGGACAAGGAGCGTCAAATGTTATCTCGGAATTAATTAAATCTAAAAAAAATTACAAACGCCGGATTTAGTGATAAATAATTCAAAATTGTGATGAAAAATTATTTCAATTTTTGTTATTTAACATACAAAACTATTATTTGCCATTTTTAAATTGCCAAAAATATCTTTATTTGCTTTTTTTGTATGCTTTATAATAACAATACATGGAGCTTATATCCAAGTCTTCGTGCGTCAAGGCATATTGTGTACATACATCGCAACGTTGAATTTTAAGACATTTTTTTTTTATTAAAAATCCGCATATATAATAAAATTTTCTTAAAAAATATTAATATTTTGTGCATGCAATTCATTAATATGCTTGTTTATATTTACATTTTCGACAATATTGCCACCATTACACGCGATTTTGGAAAATGGCTCATCCTTACTAGTCCTACGAATTTCATATAGCCTTACAAGTAAAGCATCCCCACCTGTTTTGCAGTTTTCAGTTCCAGAATGTAATAAATTTAAACATTGCAATTTTTTGAAAGTCCTTTGAATTTGGACCGATGTAGGGTTTACACAGTTACCATCATGTAGGAAGGATAATTGTAAATGTAAAAACTACCAATCGCGAACACCACCACTTCACTAGAAATTACAATCTTCACACTTACCCAATAATAGTTAAAAAATCAATTTCTCAACGAGCATACTCTTATGTCGCTTTAAAATGTTACAATACTTTGCCTGAAACACTAAAAAGAATAAATAATAAAAATTTGTTTAAAACAAAGCTGAAGTTGTTTATAATGGAAAACCACAGACAATTCATATCTAATATTTTAGGATAAGTTTTACCTAAATTCCAAAATCTATTAACAAAAAAAAAAAAAAAAAAAAACTTATGAAATGTTATTAAAAAAAAAAAAAAAATTAGAATTTTGCTATTTCCAAAATAAGAAACACTTACCCGGATTATACATACTTACATGACTTGACAAAACTAGCCAGATTAGACATTAACATTATCTATTTTCTTCTATTATTAAATAAATATAATTATATATATATATATATATATATTTTTTTTTTTTTTTACCGTAATTAGAATAATTAATTCATGTAATTAGGATAATTAGATAATAGTGTATATTGTGTACAGCGAAACAAGTACTCACGTACTTATTGCTTCTTACTTTATTTTTGTAAATAATGTTTAATTGTTTATAAAATTATTTATATTATATTGTATTGTATACCTACATGAATAAAGTTATATTATTATTATATTATTATTATAATTAAGAGTTGCAGATTCCTCACAGAAATTTGGCAGCATGTTTACCTTCAGCGACATATGGAATAGTTTTGTGCAATTAATACTCAGTCGGTAATATAGAAAGATGTAATGCTATTTTAGCTTGAAAATTGGCGGGCTTTTGAATTTACTTCGACAAAATATAAGAATTTTACATTTTTAATAGCACTGCTTAAAACACATGATTTTGATTGTGACTTTTTCAGAAAAAAAAAATTATTCCATATAAAAAATTCTGCTTGTTGAAGAAAATTACAAGAAAAAGTTTCCTTTTAAAGTTATGAAGGAAAACCGAAAGGAAAACTGTGACTTTTCTTCGTAAAATCAATAAGGTAATACAGATTTTGTCCTTTTGTCAATTTTAAGTTTCTTCATTTATTAAGACCATGTACACCTGACCTAAAATATTAATATAGTAAACCTATTTTTTCGTCAAACAGAATTTTTTTATAATGACTTTTTCCTTAAAATAAAAATAAAGATTTTTCTATTTTGTCAACTCCATAAGGGAGATGTTTAAAATATAACGTTTTACTTTAAATCTTAATAATATACCTACAAAAGTAAAGTCTAGGTGTTCTTAATAATAATAAATGACTTTATTGCTTTCATAAATTCAAATTAACAATAATGTAATTACACAAAGAAAATATATGTATTAGGTACCTGAAAGCAAGAGGCGGCGTTCGCACTCAAACATTATTAGGGAATAATGATTGAACAGCGCTCTTCCACGCAATCTTATCCGAGAATTGGTAGACTATGCAATCACAAATGCACAGAGATATATTTCAGGCTGCCTAACAATTACTTTAAAGGGGGCGAGATTATGGTGAAGACGTAAGGGACGTGGATTTCGAGGTTATGTATGAAATTGATCGAGCTTTTAGGTACTCAAGTAATTAGGAATTTAATAATTATTATTTTATAATTATTTTTGTTATTATTATACATTTTAATAGTGTTTAATACTAGTTGCTAATAAATAAAATGTAAAAATTAATGTTTAAAAATAATAATAATAAAAAAAAAAGATTCTTGGCAAAGTGTGGTCTGATCAACGACGAAAAACTACTAGACCAATTTTTCGTTGCAACTATTATGGTTATAGTGTTTTTCAGGAAAGTACGCAATTAATTGAATCGGTCATTTGAGAAAGCTCATAAGTCACAAATTTGACATATTCCAAAAATGGCAGATTCTTATTGCTAACACTTCGGCACGGCATAATAAACAATCGGCAGACTAACTTGTCTTGGCGGCAACGCTACGCGCACATCTACGCGCACACCGCCATTTTGGGGTCCAACCTCTTAATCAAGCCAGTGGCGTCACTGTCGTCGTTTATATCGACAAAAACAAACAAGTTGCAGTAGCACGGAATCAGTAGCGTGTATCTTAAATTTATTTTGTTTGTGATGTTTGTATTATGTAGTTATTGTTATTTTTTTAGAATTA